TTCCACTTTCTTTTATACACGATGCATCTAATCCTTATTTAGAGAATTTGCATTGTGGTTGGGCAATGGATGGCCACTGATGTTTGGCATCATTATTCCACCTATATCAAAATTTATCATTTCATATTTGATCAATCGTTACACCTTATGCTTTAGAGCAATGCAATTTTTAGTGGAATAACCAGTAATTCCGCAGTGGTAGTCACAATGAGCTACAAGATTATACCACTTGAGATAAAGGGCTTAAGTGGCTCTAGATGGCTAAGAGTAATTAAGTGATCATTGTAGAGTTCTCGATTTAGCTCTATATAGGTTATGAGGATAGGGTCAAATATAGGTTTTTCTTAATTATTTCATGGCTTTCGTAAACCACTTGTTAGGTTAGTAGGACGAATTGGTGGTCTTGTAGGGGTTGGGTGTTAGAACTATACTTGAGAGTTTGTGGTCTAAAAGTTGGTTGATATGTGGGTGGGTAAGATGGTAGTGGGATTGGCTGGTATAGGTAAGGTGAGGTATTATTTATAGCAGGGCAGTATGTGGGGTAGGCTTATGCTGGATAACGTTGGTAATTATTAAAATGTCATTTTTCAAAGCTTACAGCTTGAACTTCAATCTCTTTTTTCTTTAGTGCCTTTTTAGTGAAAGTTTTCCCTCTTTCCAACTTGCCATTCTTAATGGCATTCTCAATGATTTGTCCAAAATCACCATGTCGATAAAATTTTTGGTTGCATTCTTTATCATATTTTCATAATAAGGAGATTTTAAAGTGCTCACAAATAACACTGTGATTTTTTTCTCAATCAAAGGTGGTGTACTTGAATAGCTATATCCTTCCACCTCTAAGTGTACTCTTTAAATGATTTGGTCACCTTTTTCTCTATATTCTATAAAGAAAGGCAATCGAGAGCTAGATCTATGATTTATCGATAATAATTGATGAAGTCACAAGCTAACTCTCTCTAGGAATAAATGTGGATCCTGTCCAGTTATATACAACATCTAGCAGCAGAGCCAGTAAAGCTATCTTAGAATACATGTATTAGCAATTTTTCATTATTAGCATAGACAGCCATTTTCTAGTAATACATAATAATATGGGTCATCAGATACTTTGTACTATCATACTTTTTAAACTTTGAAACTTTGAATTTAAGAGGAATAATGACATTAGGGACTACATAGAGCTCAATAACATTGATGGAACCAATAAAACCAATCCCTTCCACTACTAATAACCTTTGTTCGAGCATGTTCATCTTCTTATCAACTATTAAGTTCCCTAGCAACTCGACCACTTTTGTGTTTAATTTTTCTTTCTCCTTGAAACTATCCAAGTTGGAGACTTAGACAAGCTCTATAGGCCTCTTGGTAAAGACAAGGTTTATATAACTTTAGTAATGCCTTGGATTTGATGTTGATGACATTTCGAGGTATGTAGACCCTATAGGAAATGTATATTGCTATAGTAGTGTGCCTTGTATGGATTGGGCTTGATACGGCCCATAACGAAAAGGATATAGAGGGTCAACCATATTTTATGATGGATGGTCTTGCTGGCTAGTATCTTCTTCTACACTTTTTCCCTTGTTTAATCTATTCAAGGCTTCTAAAATCTCACTTAACTCCTCTTCAAGCTTCTCTTGAGCTCTTTTTATCTTTTCAAAACAATTGCATTGTCTTGTTCTATTTGCTTGGCATTGGTTTTTATATTGTATTGGTGGTAAGTTGATTGTGTGGGGTTCTTAGTCGATGGACTATCCTTGAACTTTGAGTACCATAATTATATTTTTAGAAATGATATGCTCATGTTCAGTACTTTAATGCATGAATGAAATGTACTAATAATATTTACCATATAACTATTATTGATGAAAAAAAATCTCAATTCGAAACTTTATGAAATAAAATTTCAAAACTTTATTAAATAAAATTTCAAAACTACATCCTAACAAAGCTAAAACAATATCCTAAAGTCCTAAACATCTATTGTAATATTTCCTAAACATTATTCTAGTGTTTTCTTATGAACTTCTTAGCTTGTCGATAATGATCTTGAGCCTCATCTAGAAAGTCAAGCAATTGCTATCCATGAGCACCTACTAGTTACACCATGGCCTTCGATTCTTCCGCTTTTTCTTCTATTTTCGATGCTTTGTCTACAAACACGCATAGTTGATCAAACAAGTGCCTTAAATGTTTTTGTTTTTCTATGTATATGCCTTTCCATTGCTCACTTTGTTTAGTATGTTTATTGCATTCATTAGTCAAAGCTTTCTACTTGTGCTGTACGCCGATCCACTATCTCTTGTAGCATCTGGTTATGTCTGTGCATCCTAGCAGTGACTTTTTATCCTTCTTCCATCCTTGCTTTCAATAATTTATTTTCTTTTAAAAATTGGGCAAGCTTAATTGTGACTGATAAGTGTGTCTTGTCTAAATCATTAAATAAGGCATTCCATTGGTCTTTTTTTTCACTACGGCTTTAGATTTTCTACTCTTGCAACTTCAAACTTTCTCCCATTTTGTTCTTTAATCACTTATTTTCTTGTTCAAACTCATCTCTCTCAGTTTGGAGTTTTCTTTTAGCAGCTTCTACCTTCAATAGATGATCTTGGGGAGTTGGCTTTGGAGAAAGATTAGTTCTTTGTTCTTGAGGAAGCACAATGTCCCTGCTCCTCCTTACACGCCACATAAAATATTCTAGAGTAATATCATATGTAAGCCTCCCTTGGTTAACCTTGCTGATCTTTTTCATGCTTTTTTTATGTTCGATTCATTAACAACCCTATCTCTACAATCTTTGCAAGACCTTCGACAACATCTCACGAGATCATCATAGTAATTATAAGAATAATTATCTATCAAATATAACTCCTAAAATCACTCTCTGTTTGTATTTATTTCAGCAACTGATGTATAAATATAGTGTATAAATATAGTGTAAAGGATAAATAAGAGATAATTTATTCCATAAACGTGTGACATTATCTCAAACGTCTTTGATGAAAGCCCCTCCTTGCTTTTTCTACATGCCATAGTTTTTTCAACAACTGACTCTAAATTATAAAGTCTCAAAGTACTTTGATTCCTTCGTTGGGTTTGATTGATTATTGCTTGCAAAGCCCTATGTGACGAAGTTTGATTCATTGGGTTTTCAGTTTTTACCTCTTTTTTCATTTGCTGATCGCTGCTGGGCTCATGTACTTCCTTTCGATATGATTTGTCGATGACAAATTAACTTCATTTGGGTTTTCAAGATGGACTGCCAACTGTACTTGAAAAAGCCCGAACCCAATGAATGTTTCAGATTTGGGCATTTCAATATGAAATTAAGGCAACAACCGGCTAACAAGAGGACTGAAACCCAGCCCACTGATCTCCATCATGGTTCCTTTCATGATTATTAACATTGAATTTTTACTAATAACCCGAATTCCGTTAGCAATAAGAAAGTCGACTGAAAATAACTAATGCAAAAGGGACGACAAAGGAAAAACACCAATAATGAACGAAAAATAATTAAATAAACCAGTATGAACAATTGCATAACAGTGTTTGTATTTGTTGATTCAGTTTGAAGTCTTTATTAGATGAGGTCGGCATAGATAGAACAAAGGTTTGAGAAATGAGATAAAGCTCCACCGATTTTGAGCTCTAACTTACATTCTTTTCAGGATTTATATGTTACCTTTCTGATTCATCGTCAGGGGTCCACACCACTTTTCCTTGAATTGAAACTACAGATAGGTAATGAAAGTGAGTTTACTGCATATCAAAGGAACAACTCAAGTTTTTCATCACTACTTTTTTTTTGTGTCACATACCATTAGTGATAGTAGTTAGGACATGGCTCACGTTCAATTATTTTAACCTTTCTCATGGTTGCCCTCTTAAACGTACCATACTGTTGCGCCTGAAGCAATAATCACAACAATACAAAAGTAATAGATAACAATCAGTAATAAAAAACGTAAAAAAAATAAAGTATACCAAGATTTACGTGAAAAAGTGTAGAGGAAAAAAATCATGGACTACTAAAAAAATCTTCACAATCAAATAATAGGTATACAAAGTTCTTCTCTAGCTAAAATTAGAGCTAATCAACAACTAAAGAAATAATTGGAGAAATCTCACCAAATAAGTGACTCAACAAATACATCCTGGATTTGTTCTTAGAGAGCTTCAAATTCGATCTTCACTGTTTAGAATGTAGAACTCTAAATTATAAACCTCCTAACAAGGTTCCAACTCAATCGGACCATGAATCGACTTCTGTTCAACCAACTCTCCATTCTCTTTTTTCTCTCTGCTTTTTCTGGCTTTTCTTATTTCTCTACTTGATTTTCGACACACACTTAAAACAACTCCACATCTTTTTTATTAAGTAGTTAGAGCTCTGTGTAAAATAAAAGATCAAGGCCTATGACTTTTATTTGGTTCAAAACCACTTACATGAGGCTGGACCTCATTTTCTTAACACACTGCTATGTTGATATTTTCTTTTTTAATTCTTAATTGATCTTTAAATTCCTTACCTTTGATTTCGCAGATAAATTTTTTTGAATTTGCAATATTAAAAGCCAACTCCAATATCATATTAACTTATTCAAAAATCATTATGCAAGATTATAAGCTTTAAATACTAGAATGTTACCAAGAATCAAAGCCTTAAAAGGCGTTTGATTTTAGTTACAGAATTAGTATCAAATATTTACTGACAGGATGAACCATAAATGGGTAATTTTGCTCATCTGTGACAAAAGTAAAAAAATTCAGACAGCACTTACGGGCCAAGGCTCGCTCCTCTATGAGCTGGTTTATACCCTCCTTTTCTTCCTCCCCCATCAAAAGAATCCAAGTGAGAAAAGAGAAGAAAGAAAAGAAGAGAAAAAAGACGTAAAAAGCATCACAAAAGTATATAGCACTGTGTTGACAAAAGAAGCTTTTTTAGTTTCTTATACCAGCTAAGCTATTCCCATTTTGCATAATTATTTTACTCCTCTTTATATCTTTCCATGACCTTTCTTCCTCCCCTCTCCTTGTCCAAGAATAATTGCCATTTGTTTCTCTGAAGTTCTTGGAACCCATCATCAGGTGGTCTATCATAATAAAGAAGCAAAAATATGCTTAAACTCGGAGGGGTTCTCGTTTGTCTTATGATTGTGGCCATGGATGTTGCAGCAGGGATTCTTGCCATCCAAGCAGAAGTTGCACAAAACAAGGTGTCATGAAAATACTACTACTGCTACCTTTTAATTACAGTGGCAAAAAGTAGATATAAAATTTGTTAATTCTCCTTTGTTTTAACAGGTTAAGCATTTAAGGCTATGGATATTTGAGTGCAGAGACCCAAGCCATGATGCTTTCAAGCTAGCTTTGGGTGCAGCAGCGCTGTTAACCCTAGGCCATGTTCTTGCTAACCTGCTTGGTGGGTGCATGTGTGTCTGTTCTCAAGAAGAGTTCCAGAGAGCCTCCCCTAACAGGCAACTCTCATTGGCATGTCTCATTATCACATGGTAAGTATATAGTCTTTGGAATTGTTCCTTGCCACTTAAGACGGTAACCCTGCACCTGCAGAAATCTAGCAATGGAAAATTGGAATTAGATTTGATTAAGATTAACAACGTGAATAAATAATGGTAGTAGTAATTTTCCATTAATGTGGATTTCATTTATTATGTGGTTGATCAGGCTCATATTAGCCGTTGGATTGTCCACGCTGGTAATAGGGATATTATCAAACAACAAATCCAGGGCGTTCTGTGGTTTCACGCACCATCATTTCCTGTCCATCGGAGGAATTCTCTGTTTTGTTCATGGGCTGTTTTCTGTTGCATATTACGTTTCTGCCACTGCAGCCAGTGACGAAGGAAAGTAAGAAATGCCATCTTTAGAGGAACCCCTTTTTCCCAACCCTCCTACCTCACGCACCTTTATTGATCAGTGATCAACAATCACTTTCGTCCTACATGTAAAACAAAACGTAAGCATCTTTAAATGACGTTATCAATCTTGCGGGACAGCAGATACTGTTAAACTTCTTTTTTTTTTTTTTCTTTTGGTTTTTTTTTTAGTTGAAAGTTTGACACATTTGTCTACTATCTTAAGATATGCATATTTTGATCACATTGCTTTAGTAAAAAGAGATTTGCAATAATCCGAAACTTAATTTAATTAATTTATATAATTATTTTTAAATATTAATATTTAATAAATTTGAAATTCAATGTTTATTACTTCTTTACATGTTTAGTTCTTTACTCAACCAAAGTAACATATATATTCGAAAAATAAACCCACCATTGCCGATTGCCCAGTAATTGATTAATGGCGTGGGGACAAGATTTCGAGTTTTAGTTCATTATTATAAGGCCTGGTGCCCTATGTTAGGCACATTTTCGGCATCGGTGAAGATTAAAACCAAGAAGAAATCATACAATCCCAAGAATGGGATAGTAGCTTGGCGAGGCCTTTCTTGAATTCAATGGTCTTCAAAATATGATCAATTCCTTCATAAACCGTAGGTCTGTAATTAATATATATATATATATATGTATGTATGTATGTATTAATGTATATATAATAATAGAAAATAAAAAGAATAAAAACAAAGAGGGAGAGAGGAGGAACAAACAAACAATGTGTAGCCCAGATATCCGCGTAGTGGAAAAATTGCAATTCTAATATGCAAATTGTCAAATGGTCATCACTTCAGTCTCCGCTTTTGACAGAGCATCCCCTGATCTTATGGCTTTGCCGTCAGAATACCAGCTAGAGGCCGAAAACAGAAATAATTGTTCTGAGTTTATTATTCAAATTGTTTTTCGCTTAATAAAATTAGAGCTGGGCTGGGCTTAAAAATTAGCTGTGTAAGTGAACCAGAACGTAGCCTGTAGGCTCGTAAATTGGGCTCTTTTGTGCCCACACCTAAAACCAAACTTTTTAGTAGTGGTACCCCATATTAATTGTCAAGGGCCACTTTGGCCCATTACAATAGGTCTTAGTGGTTTTTTCTTTTTTTTTTTATAGTTTCAATTTGAGCTTTTTTTTTTAATTATTTGTTGGGTTGAACTACCTTTTTTTTTGGGGGGCGGGGGGTGGGGCTTATATTTGAGTGTAGTTTGAACTCTTACAAAGTATTATTATCATTTATTACTAGAATTAGCCCGCTCACTACGTTGGGATTAATTATTGTTTATCAAAATATTTATTATTATTTATTATTTTTAAGATATTCAAGATTATTTTAATGTAAAAATAATTAATAAATAAATAAATATATTATAAAAGTATTAAATTTAATATACATTTCATATATTGCGATTATAGTTTTTTTATTAATTTTATATTATATTTTAAACATTGCATTTTTATTAATTATCTTATCAAATGTATGATTTTCAATTTATTTTGGTTTATAAACTTTTTTATAAAAATATTTAAAATAGAATAAAAAATAATTTAATTTTTATGTTAGTTCTTTATATATTATTTATCACATTATATTTTTAATTTTTATTTTATTATAGTAATTTAATATGTAGTTAAGTTTTGCATAATTAATTAAATATGTAATTTCATTAGAGTATTATAGTAATTTTTATAAAATACCAAATATCAAATTTTCATGAAGCGATTGTAAGAGTAATTTAGTAATTTAATATGTAATTAACTTTATATTATGTTAAAATATTATATGTAATTTGATAAGGGCATTATAGTAAATTTCAAATAAAATGGCCACATGTCAAATTTCTTGAAACATTGGCAAAGATATTTTAGTAATTTAATATGTAGTTAATTTTATATTGTGTTAAAATTTCATATATAATTTAATAAGGTTAGTAACTAATTTGCAAATAAAATGTCATATGTCAAATTTCTATACAGTAATGGCAATGATATTTTAATATTTTAATGTGGTTAGTTTTATATTATCTTAAAATTTAGTACGTAATTTAATAAGAGCATTATAGTAATTTTAAAACAAAAATGTCACATATTAACTTTTTGCAAAACACTTTCAAGGACATTTCTATAATTATAGTATGAGAAGCATTACAATAATTTTTTATCAATTATGGTAGTAGGGGCATTTTCATAATTATGATTAAAAGGGTATTATAGTAATTTTGATTAATTATGGTATGAAAGGTATTTTCATAATTATGATAGGATGGGTATTATGGTAATTCTAGTAATTATCGATAGGATGGGTATTTTTGAAATTATGATAGAAAGACATTATAATATTTGTTGCTATTTATGAGAAAAGGGGTATTTTCGTAATTACAGCAAAAGGGCATTATACTAAATTTGGATATATATCAATGTCATATCAAATAAATTGATGGGCATTACATTAATTTCTAAGAGATTGTGTTAATATCTATAGGCACCCCATGTAGTCCGAAGTGAATTCACATTTTAAAATTAGGCTTCGAATTTTATTTTTTTTTTCTAATTTTTGGTATTATAGTTAGTTTAGATTTATTTAAAAAAAAAAAAAAGAGAAAAGAGTTGTTTTGTTGAAACTTGGAAAAAGTTTGATTTTAATTAGATTGTCAAATTGAAAGTGTTTTAATTGAAAAAAGAATGTATTTGGGAAAAAAATTTGAAAGGAACTTAGATTAAAAGAATCCAAAGTTGAATTTGATTAGGGGATTGAAACTAAGAAAACCTTCTCCTATTATAATTTGATTAAAGGACTATAAAAAGATCCCATTACAATTTGTAAAAATCAATTAGAAACAATCAAAGCCAAACAGAAAAAGTCCAAAAAAAAAAAGAGACTAACAAAGATTGGTAGGTCAATCGGCAACAAAATTTTTGGGAAGTTCATTGGTTTGATCTTAGGATCAATTGTGATTTAAACAATTTATGTCCAGGGAAACAAAAGAGGAATCACGTTTAGAGATTAGGATCTTTTTTGAAATTTTTGAATTTTTTTTGGATTTTTTTAGGAAAATCTAGAATTTTTTGGGTTAGGTTAAATTTTTGATCAATTTTCTAGATTGGTTTGAAGATTCCGTCATCACTTTCTAGAATTTGTTGCCGTGATCTAGGTGTGGTTGAACTTCCTAACTAGCATTCAAAGAAATCCTAGAGAGAAGTCAAAAAATTAATGGCTAAATAGAGAAAGCTAAACAAGAAAGTGAAACAAAAAATTTTTGGCTTTTATATTTTCGTTGAAACAGCACCATTCTGGCTTAAAAGTTTTTTAAGGCTCGTGCCTGGTTTGACTGCAACCCGCATGCCTACCCTAGTAAAATGCGACCCGTTTCACACAAAATCTTTTTTCTATTTTTTGTATTTTTTGTTTAGATTTTTTACTTTTTTTTTTTACTTATTTATTTTTCTTGAATTATTGTAATGTTTAATTAATTTGCAGAATAAAATGAAATAACTAGGGATAGATAAAATTTCATCCAATGATGAAATCTAAGGAAGTTACAAGCTTGTAGTTTTCTTAGAAATTTCTAGGTAAAAGGACTTTTTCTAAATTCGATCAAGGCATTGGAAGATTCAGAAATTGATCTCAATATAAGAAATTTTATTTATTTCTAATTTCAAAAAATTAAAAACTGGGAACAAATTATGATGATTTTATCTGCATGATTGATTAAATTGTGATTACATGATTATTGAATTTTATTGAATTGTGTATTTTATTTTAGTGAATTATATATTTTATTATCTATTTTTTTATAAAATATTTAATAAATTCGATGACGGAACCTTTTCAATGAAACAAGTGTGTTACTTAAATACTCTTGAAGTGAAAAATATTTTTATGGGGTCGACCAAAGTTTTGGAGAAAACCTAAAAATATATCCAATATTAATATATTTAAATTAAAAAAATAATAAATTAATAAAAGTAATTAAGAATAAGTTAAGACCATGTGAATTAAGGCTAAAAAGATGATTTAAGATTAATTGGTACTAATTAATAGGCATCGTAAAAGTGCTATAACCTTTTCTATATGTAATTGAACTCCCGAACCTAGTTCTGTTTAGAAAACCATAACATACCCTATTTAGGGACCCTTAGTTTAAACTTAGGATAACCTTAGAAGGAATAAATTCACTTAAGTGGCTAATCACACCTAGTTAATAAAATATTGATAACAACTCCATGTGTTGTGTCTAGCAGGTAAGTTTTAATACATACACATTATGATAATTTGACGACTTCACCGGGACCTAGAAGGTCAAGCTAGTTTTTAATCTTAAGTTGTTTCAAGCCTTATTTTGATGGTCTTAATTTAATTGTTTTAGTTATATTGCATGTTTACTAATTTGTTTCTTCTTTTTGTTTCATTTATTTGAACAAGAAAGTTTGTTAAATTATTTTTCATGTTCCTTAACACTCATTGCACATTCATTTCATACATTTAAGCTTTCTACCCGAGCTTTGTCCTCTTTTAGAAGGGAGAAAGTACCTATACTCTCGTGTCGTAATAACCTCCATGTGAGCTAGTGAAAATTTCCACTTAAATTGAACCTTTCTATTTGAAGCCTATTAAGAATGAGAATTGGGGTACCTTACTAATTTGTAATGGATGACAATATAGGAAACAATTTGAGAACCTTTAGATTATCAAAATATCCTAACCCTATATATAGAAAAACCCTAAAAAGCCAACCCTAGGTTAGAGCCATGTCTACCTATTGTTAGTATGTAACTAAAGTTAGGACACATGAAAGAACTTTTGTTGTATCATTTGTGTGACTTTTGTGACAAAGTTGAAAGAGTTTAGGTTAATTTAGTCTTTCATGTGTTGTTATATAACAAACATTAACACGTTCATTATCCATGCATCATTGAATTTTTATGTATCTAGCATCTAATGCACACATTCATCCATTTATGCATTATAAAATAATCATGTTAACCTAGGCAGTCATTTGTTCATTTAGGCATCATTATGGGGCAAACATTAACTCATGCATCCATTCATGTACTCATTTGCCACTTCATGCATCATTATATTGTCATGTGCGTGCATTTATTTATC